GTAGCTGAAGATCTGTGCTAATGCTAGATAAATGTAGCTGAAGATCTGTGCTAATACTAGATAAATGTAGATCTGTGCTACTGGTACGGAATACTATATTGATTTAATATAGTTAGCCATAAGAGTTCCATGGCTGAGCTGATGGGTATAGTAAATATACTTTCTATGACGAAATAGATATTCCATGTCATACATATTCATATGTCACATCATATGTCAGCACATATGGGAAGCACATCACTTGGTTAGGGTATAGCACACAAAGGCACAACGATAACAGCTGCAGGGCCAGAGCGCAGATTCACAGATACAGATACAGACTCGAACACAAGTTGGAATACAAGCTTGTAGTTCACTAAAATTATAGCTCTTATTATTATACAAGCATATTCTTCTCTTTCTCCTCCAGCTTCATTTCTGGAGTGCAGATCTTTTGTAGTATTTATCGATTGCATTGTTTTTTATAGAATTGGAAATTCCTAATGCTTATTTTACTCAGTTATAGTCAATTCCGCTTTTATCCGAATTGCAATTGGCTTTTATCTGATTTTAATTCGGACAATTTGGGTCCACGAAGTCCACTCGCCATTCATTGTGCGCATCACTTACAAAAGATTCAAATGTATCTCCTGGCATCCAATTGAGCGAATTACAAAAGATTTCGGTTCATATGGCGGGCTGATGAGCCTTTTCATACACTATTTCTTTTTTTTTCTATATTATTTTTCTTTTTTCACTTTTTTTTCTTGCTGTGTGTGTGTGTGTGTGTTTGTAAATCGCGATTCTCGTACTGATTTTCGAGGTTAAGCGCGGCACTCAGCACAGTTAGTTAGCTTATGCAACGAGGCTCCTTTGCCTTGGCACTGATTAGCTCGAGCAGCTAATAGCAATTACGAACTCAACTATTTTGGCTGCTAATACGACAAATAGTCTAAATAGCACTAATTCGCCAGCTCTACGTGGAGGAGTGCAAGCCAAGGGCTGCGCATTGTTTTCAGCTGCTTTGGATCGCTGGCCTATCTCACGCTATGGCCCCCCAATTAACTGTTTAATTATGATCGCGATTTGCGGCCTAACACGTAAAAATTATTTATTTGCTGGACATTTTCGATGGCCGGAGCGATTGCAAAAACTTTTTCCGTTCCAAATGTGAAACAAGATTTCAAAACATGCCACTTCGATGGGACATATGTACATATATATATGTATATATATATGTATATTTATCTGCGATACACAAGAGACTTGGCGCTTCCCGCCTGCCACGCCCCCCTCACAACACAAGCAATGGACAGAAAACGAAACTGAAACCGATTTTCGGCTCGAAGTCGCGTAGGTTTTTTTTTTTTTTTCTTTTCGGTTTCGTCGCGCTGGAGATTTTGAAAATGAAAAAATGACGCCCGCTATGCGCCCAATCTGGCACTCGGCTGCTCGATGACTGGGCCACTGACTGACCAAGATGGAACAACGATCTCGCTCTCCCGCTCCCGCTCTCGCTCTCTCTCTCTCTCTCTCTCTCTCTGTCTCACTTACACTCTTACCCTCTCTGTTTTGTCGCTCCGGCCACGCTTGCGTTTTGTTTATTTATTTATATTATTTTGCTTGTGTTTTTTTGAATGGCATTTGGTCAGTTTTTATTTATTTTTGCTTTACATTGATTGCCATCCAGCGCTCAGTTAGTCATCGACTCATGCAGTCAGTCGCTCACTCGCTCAACTGCTGTGCATTATCAGAGCTGAAGTCTGAAACGTGGTCTTTGTTTGAGTGCCTCAGCTACCCTTTGTCATTCAGCTGCTATTGGATAAGCTCGGATTTATGGCCTCGGCTGTGCCGTTGTTGTTACCTTTGATAGCTTATCATCGCAGATCACAACTAGAGATTAGCTAACTCACCCTAAACAGGCAATACTTCAGCCACTTGAACTATGCAGTCGTTTGGCAAATAATTGTAAATCTTTTAATAGATCGCATTAACTTACTTCAAGATATTAAACAAATAGGCTGCCGCTCACACTACAAGCCACACGCAGGCTCCACAAATAACTAGCTAGAGTAGCCAATCAATTGTTGAAGTCTGCTCAAGTGGGGGTCTTTAAAAATAATAACTGATAACTACTTATACGTATATGTGTATGAAGATTAGCCAAGCTATAATTTGTAGAGCGATAAGGATTATTGGAATGTCCAAAGCAAAAGTTTGCAAGTGTTGGTTTATTGTGATTAGTTGATTTGAAACTCGTGTCAAATACATTTTGTGCTATTCAAATATTAACTGACTGCTCAATTTTACGTTAACAGTTGCGCGGGCAATCTGCATAAAGCTATCGGGCAAGTGGCGGACTATCGATAACAGTCGATATCAACAGATGTTAACTCAGCTGTTAAAGGGATATATTTCAGTTTTTTCTTCCACCGAACAGCTGTTCTCACAGTTTTCCAGCGACGCCATCACCACAAACACCTGCGTAATGAGTAATTCGCTGACAATTGTTACAAAATAATCAAATCCTTGGCAAGGGCAATACTACAAATGAGAAGTGCAACCAAGCTCTACCGTAAACACAAAAACACGCAGAGACAAAATTGAAGCCTAGCCAAAAGAAAAAAAAAAAAAACCAGAGAGGAAGCTCGAATAAAAAAACATGTCGAAGGCCGTGAATAATATGAACATGGGCGTTGTGGAGCCACAGCAGCGCATTAAAAATCTCTCCCACTGCGGCAATCTCATCGATGTGGACAAGAATATGAAAGTGTCGCGGTAAGTTGAAGAGCAGCCAAAGATTCCCAGCTGTGGCGCCAAGCGGAAATTCTACTCCAATGTCAACCCACACTTCGCAGAGGCGAAGACCTTGCATGCGCATTTGTCTTTTGAAGGATATTCTCACACACACACACACACACACATGCATATGTAATTGCCTGCCTGTGCATGTGTGTGTGTGTGGGTTTCTTACTGCAATTCCTATAGGCAGCAAAACAAAAATATATTTTATTTGGGTTGACTTATTTGTGGCCAACGAATCGTCTCCTTCTACTCCGCAGCTATTACCGCGCCGGAACGGAGATCTTGCGCATGGCCAACGTCTATCTGAATGAGGGCGACCATGAAAATGCATTTATATTGTACATGCGCTACATGACGCTGTTCATTGAGAAGATACGCCAGCATCCGGACTATGGCAGCGTTAAAGCCGAGGTGAAGGCCATCAATAAGACGATTAAAGACGAGATCATGCCCACAACGGAGAAGCTGCGCAACAAGTTGCTGGCCCAGTACCAGCGTGAATACGAACAGTTTCTGGCCAACAAGGAGGCCGAGCGAATGCGCGAACAGGAGCGAGAGCGCCAGCAGCAGTTGGCCACCAAGAAGGCAGCGGCAGCATCATCTATTCCTTCCCTCATACCCGCCAATCTGCACGTACAAATGGATCCCAGCAGCCAGCCAACGGCCCCAGATCTGAGTCTGCTCGATCAGGTGGTCTATCCAAACGATTTCCCCACGGGCACCAACCGCAACAACTTGCCCAACTCGGGTCTCCTACTGCCAATGGCAGCTGAGGCTGGTGCCGCCGACAAGATTGCCAAGTGAGTGCAGACTAAGAGAATCTTAATCAGCGGACTAATGCCGTTTCTGACCTTACAGCTCGTCATCAAAGCCCACATTCGATCGCAGCCGGAAGCCACAGTTCAATCGCACGGACTCGCTCTTGGCTGGCTCACTGCGCAGCGTCAATGTGCCCGGCGACACCATGGATGTGTTCCTGAAGCTGGCGCATGCCAATACCTCCAATAACATCGAGACTTGCGGCGTCCTCGCCGGCCACCTGGCCCACAATGAACTCTATATAACCCACATTATTGCGCCCCAGCAGCAGGGCACGCCCGACAGCTGCAACACGATGCACGAGGAGCAGATCTTCGATGTCCAGGATCAAATGCAGCTCATTACGCTTGGCTGGATACATGTAGGTGGCCGTGAGAGTAGCCCCTGCCTATATTATTGACTAATGAATGATTCACATCACTTTCATTGACAGACCCATCCCAGCCAGACGGCCTTTCTGTCCTCCGTTGACTTGCACACGCACTGCTCCTACCAGATGATGATGCCGGAGGCAATCGCCATCGTCTGTGCGCCCAAGTACAATACGTGAGTCATTGCGTTTGTCTTTGCTTTTATTCTCATCGATTCGGAAACGTGAGCAATGTGTGCGTTTATTTTTAGAACCGGTTTCTTCTTACTCACGCCGCAGTATGGCCTGGACTACATTGCACAGTGCCGGCAAAGCGGATTTCATCCACATCCCAATGATCCGCCGCTGTTCATGGATGCACAGCACATCAAGATAGATGCCCAGACCAAGATCAAGGTTATCGATCTGCGCAGATAGTATGCTGAAATTCTGGTCTAACTCAGCAGCGACACGGCAACAGAATTCTACCAGCTAAGAGCACATGGGTTCATCCACTGGCTGGATGCAAAAGCAGCGAATTTAACAAAAGCTACAAAAAAACAGCAACAAATCAGCAACAGAGCTACAACAACAGCATCATTCAGCGAGACAACTAGAGCGAGGTCTTTGCTCGATGTAACCGGAGAAGCGGATAAATACACACTGTAGTGATTAACGATCTGAGAGATTTCAATGAAACAACAACAAATCATATTTTGCGACTGTTTAGCTGTATTTTTGCATTTGCAAATTTAGAAGCGATAAACGAATGGCATTAGGCAGACAGACATTAGCTTTCGGTTAGCAGAAATTGCAGTTTATTCATACATTTAGGATCTGCTTTATACATACATACATATAAATTCTTTAATGTGATTTACAATTGTGGCTTATACTTTTGTTAAAAATTGTTTTGTTTAATTATGCATGTATTTATTATATCTTCTAAAGAACTCTACACTCTACACAAATCGCTATGAAAGCAACCAATGCAAAATGTTTAAAATATTGATATTTATATATATTTACCTAATATTGCTAAAAGAAAAAGATACTAATTAAGAAAATAATAACTATGCTATAACATGTTGTTTGAAGTGAAGCCACTAAATGGTAATCGTGTTATCTATGCTTACTAAATTGCTTAAATTAATAAACGTGTACATTATTTTAATGAACTGTGTTTTTTATCAATATTTTAACTTATTGAAAATAAATTTTTATTTTAACATTGACTGCTGCTGTTAAAGTAACATCAGTCTGCAATGTCTTATTTGTTTACATTTGACGGCAATTTTGGCTTCAGATTCAGATTGGACCAATTAGAAATGTTATGTTAACTTCAATGTTGTTGGGCAGCGCTGTTAAAATTTCCCGACTAGCGTTAAAGCCCTTAGCGTTTGCATTTCCCGCCCGCAGTTTTACGTGTTTTCTCGGCTCGTGCAGTCCGTTCAGCTCATAGAGCAGAGCCCGGAATTCTGCGACCGCAAGCAGGCTAAAAATAATTTAATTACAAACCATAGAGTTGCTGTACAAAAAACAACTTTAATATTTGTGGTGTGAATAACAATCGATAAAAGAGCAGCACGCATCCCGAACGAGCGCATCAAGCGAGCCGCCTAAAGCGAATGGGGGGAGGGGTCCTGTCGCCTGCCGTAGCCGTTGCCGTGTGGCCCTTGCCCTTGATTAAACATTTCATTCGGGAAAATATATAAACGCCGCGCTTAATACCAAATCAAGTTCTGCTCATAATTTTGCTCTTTGCTCTTTTTTGGTTGCCAAATTAACTTTTGTGCCAATATCCAGCCCAACTACTCCACTTCCTTTCCCCTGTAGCCCGCCCCTTAGCTAGTCGACATATCGTAATATCGTATATATAATGCCAATGAACGAATTGAACACAATTAATTGGATACCAGGACAGGATAGCGTTCAATGTCAAGAAGTGAGTAATCGACAATATGTGCACCGAGTGTTAATTAAAACCGTTTAATTAACGCAAATATTATGCGCGCGTGTGCGTGTGTGTGTGTGCTTGTGTGTGTGTGCTTGTGTGTGCGTGAGTCTAATGGCTTTTTCAATAGCCACACAAAAGTCCTGCCATGTTGACAATGTGTGAGAGGTCAAGCAGCACAATATGTTGAGAGTATTCACTCGCCAGATAAACATTGATAAGCGCTCTCCCATCAGCAGCTAAAAGCTTAAGAATCTAATTACGTATACGCGCTATCTATATGGCCCTTAGACTAGGCTTATCGTTGTCACGCCCATCCTTAGCCACTTGGATGGCCATGGCTAACAAGAAACACGCCACTTCGGATGTCCTTACTGCACTGCCAAGTGTCCACTCAAGGAAGTTTTTACTGTCTGCCGTTGAGCAGAGGCATTGAGCCTTAAGTGACTTCAGCTCGTGCCTGGCTCCGCAAAAGACGTTCGTCAGCTGACAAAATCAGCTGATGGAAGTCGCACGCAGTTAAAGGTCTTAACATTGTCATTTTGACTCCCCCTTCCCCATTCCCCACGGGCCTTGGGCTGGGAATTGAATTTGGAGCCGCAGTTGTTGTGTCGTGTTTCTTCCAGCCATAATTGTAAATGATTTCATTTCACGAATCGCATGCAGCTCGCTTTTCAAAAGCCTTGTTAGCTCTGCCATTCGACCCAGTCAGCATGCTCAGATATATGGGCTTATTTACGTGCTGCCACTCTCTGAGCGCCGCGTGCTTTTCTTTATATTTATCCATGTTCATTGTGTGTGTGTGTGTGTGTGTGCATGTGTGTGCTTTTTCTTGTCTCTAACTATTTTTAACACAGCCATGCGCGATTCACGTGCGTGCACTCGGCCCGGCCGGCCGGCCAATGCGGCGTATACGCAACGCGGGCTTTAGCTTTTCCAATCGTAGAATGCGGTGCACGTGCTGACAACAGCTAATCGACACTATTTGATTGATTGCATATACACATAGTAATACATTTCAACACACTATCCAACTCTACCAATACAATCACGTTTTAAGTAACGTTGTGAATCCAATTAAGATCCAAGGTCAAAGAGTGTATATATTCATTGCTTGAATTGATCTTTTTTTTATTAGTAGTGTTAAATTGTTGTTTAATTTATATTTTGTTGTATGAAATTGTTTAGAAATTTTTCCTATATATACATTTTATTTTTATTGACGCTCGAAGTGGAATTACCCGTTGGTTTTATAACCCTTAATGTCTGTCCATATCTAATATAATATACATATATATTATATAAATATGCCAGACTCTTAAGGCATATAATTTTATGATAATAGTTAATCCAATTATCTCATAAATATATTTAAAATTATTAAATTATCTAAGCAAAAAATTAAATTAAAAATATATATGCACAAGATATACTAAAGTTTTATTATTATTTTATATATGTATATAAAACGAAAATGTAAATATTACTATTATTATAATATTAATAGATTTTTGGTCCAATGAAATAATTTTCTTTTGAATTTTGTTTTCAGCTTACTTTATTTTAATTAATAATAATAGGTTAAAAACATTTTTTTTCTTCTCTTTCCCTTTATTCCTATTTCTATTCACTTTTTATTCCATATATCTTTAAGACCCTCCTTCTAAGTAAATTTGTTTGGCAAACACTTGCAAAAACAAAGTTTACGTCAAAATATAGTTAATTTAACCTTGTTTCAAAAACTCCCACGTTAAAACCGCAAAGTTGACCTTTAAATGGAAATCGTCAAGATCTGATGCCACATATGTATATATGAGTATAGCTCTAGTCTCTCGCCCTGGTAAGTGATGGCAGCAGCTAGTCTTTCAGCTGTGCGCCCAGCTGCCAAGCTCTCCGGCGGAGTGGAGCTTTTGTTGGTTCGCTGGGAATATGCATAGACATAATGCACCTAGGAAAGCTCCATCAGGTAAGGGGATTGTGCAGCGGCAGCTTGCACGACTTCCTCTGTTCACTATGTGTCTGCTCCACAGGTGGTTGTTGTTGCTACACACACACACACACACAGACTATAATTTGTTGTTGTTATTGTATGTGAAATGTTGCACCCTATAAGTAAACAAATTGTAAAGCTCTGCCCACACAGCCGATAGAGAGAGCATATTGTTGTTGTGGCCCATGAAATGAGCTCGAGCACAAGTGCAAATACAGTGACAGAGACACGAATACGAATTCATAATGCAATAGCAAATTACAAATGACGCACACAAACAAAAGCAAAAAGCAGAAACAAAAACAAAAACAGCAACAGAAACAATTATAACAATAACAGCAACAAATACAAATGCATAAACGTAAACCCCAGCCGCTTGTCAGCCGCTGCTGCAGTCGACGTCGCCGTCGCCGTCGACGTTGACGTCGCCTCGTCTCGCTGGGGTAGTATATTACTGGGAAAAGCTTTTGCTGCCAGTACCTCAGATTTTGATTCAGAACGGAAAAGTGAAGCGTCGCAAGCGCACGCAGCTCGGCAAAAGGAACGCGAATCGCGCGATATAGTCAAAATTAAAATTAAATTCCTCTGCCCATCGAAATATATATAGTGAAAAATATATCTAAGAAAAATATATACGTGTATACATATACATATATGAAAAAGAGAAATACAGAGAGCGAGCGCGTGAAAATTCATAGCAATCGGCGAACCTGGAAGCCCGTTGGCATTGGCATTATCACGCAGCGACAGCGACAGCGACAGCAGCTGTGCACTCGCAGCAACAGTTGGCGTTGTAAACAAAACGAGCGAATAAATTAGCCGAGATACGCGATAATATCCCAGCAAATATTAGAGAAACAAATGGAATAGATTGCGAGAGCCTAATTGAAATAATTATAGCCACAATTTCACGAATAATCAAATTGCTTACAGTGTCTAGCGCTAAAAGTGTTGAGCAGGACTTTATTTCAATTCAATTCAGTTCAATAGAAAAGTTGATAAGCAATGGAAGAGGTAAACTGACTATAAAAATAATATAATAATAAGAAATTCTTATGAATATTAAAAAAAGTAATCAAAATAATAATAAAAGTTTTCTTCATCTCGAAACTATTATTATAGCTCATCAGAGATATACAGCTATCATCAAATCATATATAAAATCATTGATCAACCCATTCAGTGCTTAGTTATATAATTTTCTGCAACACAATGCAGATATTCAATTAACATTTATCAACTTCCAGTTAGGTTTTACCTAGCTATAGCTATAGTTAAGTGATCCCTGGACTGACCAGCGCTTTATCACATATTTATCTCAGTGAATAGTTATCTAAACAAATAAAACAAAAAGTCCAAATTAAATTTAATCAAGCTACTTCCTGTAATGTATATATGAAAGTTAATATTGCATAGATATGCAATCTTATTTATATATAATATTAAAATTCTTATAAAATACCGCTTATCAATGAATATTTATACGATTTTTATGTTCCATCAAAAGTTCTACGACGGCCACTTGTCAATATTTTGAATTCGTATAGCCAGTAGATACATATATTTGTATATATAGAAAAGAGACAAAACAGACAACATAATTATAAACGGCAAGTCACATTCATATGATCTACGCGAAAAAAGCTCGCCGTAGCATCATCTGTTTTGATGACGGCCGTCGCTCGGTCTCCACTTTAATGTCAAGCAACAACGGCAAAATCACCTTCAGACAGGGGCTAAATTAGCTCTCGACGCTATCTCAATTTCCACTGGAAACTGTGCTGGCTTTTGTTTATTTATTTTATACACTTCAAGCTGTTTTTAACTTTGTTCAATGTTTTTTTTTTTTTTTTTTTGTTAATATGCCGTTTGTTTATTTATGTTAGTAAATTGGAGTCACTTGCTGCTTCTTACATTACTTTCATTCTCTTTGGCCTGGCTCATTATTTTCTGACAATTTCTCTTCTTCATAAGCTTTCTCGCATTCTCTCTTAGTTGATTTTCACTGTAGTTGAATAGTTGGCGATTTGCTGTTTTTTTTTTTGCCACAGCCAATTATATGGGCAGTCCGACGTTGCGTATACGTAATCACCCAGTAGCACATTAAAGTTTCGTTTGTACTTGCGATAATGAGGCTTACTGCAATTAACTGTAGCTGAATTCAATGCAAAGTTCAAGCTCTTTAGTTACACTTATCGGAATCGAATTCTCTATTTGGCATAGCCTTAGTACTATTTCGTAAAATACATTCAGACTTTCGATTCGATTTGCTCAGCTCAAACTATTTTTATTTATATATAAATTTATTTTATTTTTTTGTGTGATTTACTTTCATCGCGCTTCCCGCTCAGCCCCCCCGCGCGGCTCGCCAGTCATGCGACTCTGACAAAATGGCGATAATGAACAGCCGGACTGACCTTGACAGGAATCGCTAAAAGTTATGCAGTATTTGTTTGCTCTCAGGGGCGCACCATTTGCATAGAGACACGAAAACAAACATGAATATATATATATTTACACATATTATAAGCAGCGCAGACAGTAACACGTGACGCGCAGCGTCAGGTGCGTCGTTACGGCCGCCTGAGAACTTTGACTCTGTGGAGCAACAGCCAGGTAGACAAACGACCTCATTATAACTTTTAGCCAGGCACAACAACAAAAGCAACAACAAACAGCAGCCGTGTTAGTCATACAGTAAAAATGCAGCGACACACGAGGCGTATGTGCAATATTTGGAGCCTCTGCATACAAAGCCCAAAAACCTACATATAATATATATTCATATATATAAATATACTTTATATGTATTCCCTTTGTGTGTGTGTTTGTGTTTGTTTAACGGCTTTCAAGTTCAATGTGCAACTGCGTGATGCTTTGTGCTAAGCCAAACAGCTGGCAACAAGGATTCCTTTCATTACTGCATAATCTGAGCACGAGCTGTTGATTTGTGGTTGATGATGATTCCATTGCAGCAAGTGAATTATCCGGTGCTCTATGCAGATGGGAAAAATAAAATAATTGCAGCTTATAAAGTGCGCTCTTTGCAATGTAAGGGAAACAGAATTATTCCAAGTAAAAGGAAAGTATACTTGACAGCCTCAATTTCTTCAGGCTTATTACCATGCACTCGTATCTACTAGTTAGATAAGTAAGCTTGCTAAGCATACATTTTTCATATCCTTAAGTCTTCTGTTCTTATTCCTGGAAACTTTTATACTATTTTTAGAATGAAATTTAAACAATCTCTAGAATCGATCGAATATTAGTTTTTTGGTGATAATTAAATTGATCTACCATATTTTATTCCCAAAAAGAAGTTCTATTTAAAAGAAAAAATACAGAAGAATATCAACTATTATATATATAACTATTATATATGTATATTTATATTTATTTATTTTTATATATTTCATAAATTAAATAAATTGATTAATGTGCTCTCTGGCAGCGTACGCGCTGTAGTTGATATATAGATTATTTATATCATATTCCAGTTGGTTGCTGCCAAACAAAAACTTCAGATTCCAGAATTCATATTCATCCACGAAACAGCAACAACAAAATGAAAACAGAAAAACAGAATAAGCTACAACAACTGCGACACTGCATAAATAATAAACAAGCTGATAAGCCTTGAAATCAATACAGGACTCAATCGAATGGATTTTCTGTTGATTTCAAAGCAATCAATTGTTTTTGTTATTGTGTTTCGCTGTCATATCACCTGTGCGTGTGCTCGTGCGTGCGTGTGTGTGTGCATGGAAATCTACATACAACTGTCGCTCTCTCTCTCTGCAGCAAACGAAAAGAGCAAATGGCAATTTCATCGGATGATAATCGTATTACGTCAACGCATTCATTGATAAATGTGAATGACTTTAAAGCGATTCAGTTCGCTGTTGACGGAATTGCTTACAGCAGCACTGACCCCCGATTAGCCCTGGCTGGCAATAAACGAAATTCCCAGCCAATAATTAAGAGTATTTGCCCTTGCACATTTTGCACTCTTCGCGCATTTCGAAAAGTGTTTGCAAACAAACCATAAATATTGCCTAATTTATGATGTCAACAACAAGGCGGAAATGTCAAAGAGCAGCCCCGTCACAGAAGAGAGAGAGAGCGAAATTTAAGAGCGCCACAGGCAGAACGATCAGACGCTGTTAGGCAAAAGATAAAACGAAAAGCAAGAAGAGAGAATTTGCGCGCTCTCGCGACGAGTTCTGCTTTGCAATGGAATGAAGTGCGGCCGTTGCGGGCATTCAGTTGGGCAACGGGTTTGGTTCGGTTCAGTTTGGATTCGGCGCAAGTCGATGCACTAATTAATGCCAGCTAGATTTGTTCATTAAAAAAACACACACACACACTGCTGCTAGGCGAAATAATTACAAATATCAATAAAATGCCAATTGCCGCCACTGTAAGTTAAGTTCGCCCGACAGCGACAGCGGAGAGAGCGCACACACACTTTGTATATTTATGACACGTGTTGCTTTTGTTTGCCATTCCAAGAGAGGCATCAAGCGAGAGCGTTAGCGCGAGAGAGCGCGCGTGCGAGATGTGCGCGTATATTTGTGACAATCTGTGCTATGCGTCGCCATACGATCTGTTATCTGTTTTTGTTCTCTTGCAGACACCCTCGCTGCTGAAGCGCGCCAGCACTGACAAACTGAGAGAAGTTTTTCTGAAGTACGCCTCGCTGCAGAAGGATGGCGAGCATTATATGACCAGCGAGGATTTCGTGCGCAAATTTCTGGGCTTGTTCACAGACGCGGCGTTCAATGATGTAAGTAGCAGCATCAAGACAGCAGCAAGCACGACATCGTGACAAACAAAACCCGTGTCACTGACAACGGCGCATCATTGGGTCATTACAAGGTCATACATACAGTCTTGCTTGTCTTGTGATAAGCAATCAACGACGGCTGCAACAAAGCATGCGTCCGGCCTAAGCCTATACTCGGAGCACCTCTTATCAACAAGCTCATTGAGTGGAGATAACGCTCACCTGTGTAGCATTAGATCTGTGCGAATCAGCCAAACTTTAAAATACATTTATCTCATAGAGCTAACTGATTCATAATGAACCGGTTTCCCACTCGGTATCACTTGTCAGCCTCGTGCGAAAGTCTGCCGACGTCACGGCATTTAAATCGGTTGTTTTTTGTTATCAATCGTTTCGCTGCTCGCAGCTGGAATTGATTCCCAGGTGCGTCCGGGTCGAAGTCTTTGGATTGTACTTTTTCCTGTGATAAAGTCTTTGCTTTAACTAATCACCACTTAGTAGTCCAACGACTAAACATTGAACCCTTGCTCTCTTCAGGAATCGGTGCGCCTGCTCGCCGGCATTGCGGACACGAGCAAAGATGGCCTCATATCGTTCCCGGAATTTCAGGCATTCGAGGGCTTGCTCTGCGCCCCAGATGCACTCTACAGAACTGCCTTTCAGCTGTTTGACCGCCAAGGCAACGGCACTGTTTCATACGGTACTTATGCACATATTTGTTTATTGCTCTTGATCTGTTACTTATTGATTTATTTACTCGTGCAGCTGATTTCGCTGATGTCGTACAAAAAACTGAACTGCACTCAAAGATACCTTTTAGCTTAGATGGCACATTTATCAAACGCTACTTTGGTGATGTACGTGAACGGAAACATGTTTATTTTTAAAGCACACACTTAAACGATTTCCCATACACCCCTATAAATATTATATATATATGTATATGTGTATATATATATGTAGAAGAAGCAGCGTCTTATCAACTATGCTGAATTCACGCAACTGCTGCACGACTTCCACGAGGAGCACGCAATGGAGGCATTCCGCAGCAAAGATCCAGCTGGCACTGGATTCATATCCCCCCTAGACTTTCAGGACATTATTGTTAAGGTTAAGCGGCATTTACTCACGCCCGATGTCAAGGATAACTTGCTGGCGGTATGTCTATATACATATTTTATATGCATCTCTGTCATGGCATATTTCCAATTCAACCTTTTCATAGGTCACCGAGGGTCACAGAGTTAGCTTTCCGTACTTCATGGCATTTACATCGCTGCTCAACAACATGGAGCTGATCAAGCAGATTTATCTATACGCCACCAAGGGCAGTCGCACCGAGATGGTCACCAAGGATGAGCTGCTCTATGCGGCGCAAACCATGAGCCAGATTACCCCGCTGGAAATTGATATATTGTTTCAGATAACGGGCGCTGTTAATCAGCCGGGGTAAGCCATCTAGGTCACTAATATTTCCACCACCTCCTCAACAACAACAACAACGAAAACTATTTCATTTGTAGGCAATTCATTTGGTCAGTAATGTTCGAAATTCAACAAGAATAATCAAGTCCCTCCCGCGTGTTTGTCTCTCCTTTTGTAATAACCGTTGACATTTTGTATCTTTTCTCTCTCTCTCTCTCTCTCTTTCTTCCCTGCTCTCTCTCTTTTTCGAACTCATACAAATTTTTGTTCACATTAACGTATTTATCACAATATTAGAAGATGGTGGAAACGCAAAAAGATTTCTCCAAGTAGGCAAGTGTTGTTGTTCTTAAAGAGAACATAAGAGAAATGTTAATAAGCCATACGATTCTCCTCCCTCGCAAAAATTTATAAACCAAAAAAGATACGAAAATCAAAAATCCTTATGGCCATGCATCACCCCTTCGGTGTAAATTCGTTTTAGTTCATTATGTGTGGGTATCCTTGCATCCTGATCCTTTCACTAACCACTTGCTCAAATCGTTTGTACCCACAGCCGCATCGACTACAGCGACCTGAGCAACATCGGGCCGGAGCACTATACGAAGCATATTACTCACCGTCTGGCCGAGATTAAGGCCGTCGACAGCCCCAGTGATCGATCGGCATTGATTCAGGTGCTGGAGGCCACCTATCGCTTCACTCTGGCCTCCTTTGCAGGCGGTAAGCCAACGAAGAGTATTTGGGGCTTAACAAGTCTTTAAACTGTTCACCACTGCCTTCCCTAGCTACTGGCGCCACGGTGGTCTACCCCATTGATCTTGTGAAGACGCGCATGCAGAATCAGCGCACGGGCTCAATGATCGGCGAGGTCGCCTATAGAAACTCCTGGGATTGCTTCAAGAAGGTACGTCAAATTTATATGATATATTATTATAATATAATCAATAATCAATCAATATGCAACAGGTCATCCGTCACGAGGGCATCCTCGGCCTCTATCGCGGTCTGCTGCCCCAGCTGATGGGCGTCGCCCCGGAGAAGGCCATCAAGCTGACTGTCAATGATTTTGTGCGCGACAATCTGTCGGACAAGCGCGGCAACATTCCCGTCTGGGGCGAGGTTGTGGCCGGCGCCTGTGGTGGTGCCGCCCAGGTCATCTTCACAAATCCGCTGGAGATAGTCAAAATTCGACTGCAGGTGGCCGGCGAGATCGCTGGCGGCTCCAAGATAAGTGCGCTCTCCGTGGTTCGCGAACTGGGCTTCCTTGGCCTCTACAAAGGGGCCAAAGCGTGCCTGCTGCGCGATGTGAACTTCTCGGCCATCTATTTCCCAACCTATGCGCACGTCAAGGCCGCGCTGGCCGACAAGGATGGCTACAATAATCCGGTATCGCTGCTGGCCGCTGGCGCCATTGCGGGTGTGCCCGCTGCTTCGCTGGTGACGCCCGCGGACGTGATCAAGACGCGACTGCAGGTGGCCGCTCGCACGGGCCAGACGACCTACACGGGCGTTTGGGATGCCACCAAAAAGATTATGGCCGAAGAGGGACCAAGAGCGTTCTGGAAGGGCACAGCCGGTAAGTAGACATGGACTATAATGGTTTTAAATCATTCTATAATTCCTCTCTCTCTCTCTCTCTCTCTCTCTCTCTCTCTCTCTCTCTCTGTGTTTGCTGTTTAGCTCGTGTCTTCCGCTCATCGCCACAATTCGGCGTCACCTTGGTCACTTACGAGCTGCTGCAGCGCCTGTTCTACGTGGACTTTGGCGGCAATCAGCCGAAGGGCTCGCACGGCACCAAGCCGGGCCTGCCCCTGGACGCCACGCTGGGCGCGGAGCAGCCCAAGCCCGATCACATTGGCGGCTACCACGCGGCTGTGCCGCTGCTGACAGGCATCGAGTCCAAGTTTGGCCTGTATCTGCCGCGATTCGGGCGTGGCGCTGGTGCCGCTGCCCCGGCTGGAACGGCGACGGGCTCATGATTATATTGGCGGCATCGCCTGCCATGCGCCAGTTAGGTCTAAAGTTGTACAGTTGTAGCCATATATGTACATATAATATATACATACATATATATATAGGCGAAAAGTTGAAGGCGACTCTGATCAGATCAGCTATGGATCAAATGTCTATATTTTGCTAAGACGCGTTTACACACACATCCACAATCAGTCGAGGACAACCTATAAAGGATTCAGTTCAATGTCTATTCCAGAGGGAACTTTTCGTACCATCAACATGTTGTACCAAACGTAACAAAACTTTTGAAACATATATGAATCATACGGAATAGAAATCTTTTACATATATAAATTTATATAGATATGCAATTATATGATAATATATATAGCTAACATCTATGGCACACAATTGAAGGCAACTGTTTTACCTACACATCAAGCGAACGTACATACATACATACATACATATATAGAAGAAGAAAGTGTAACTTTAACTAGATGCATAGTCAAAACTCTAAATCTAAACAAAAGTAAACAAATCACTGAACGTCTCTTATTGCACTCAAAGATTTAAGCGTAAAACCTTTAAAATTTAGTACGAATTTGTTCAACTGTTATAAAGTAAAATGCAATGAATTACCTCTTAGCTAATAAATGTCAAATGAATATAATTAAAATAAATGTACAAATATTAAAAACCAAAATAAAAAATAAATATATAAAAGAATAATATTAATTCATATTTAAATATATGTAAATCATAAACACAAAGTTTATAGACGAAGCCTAGTCCCCATGTCGTGGGGTAAGCCCCACGCTAAGGTAAGCCTTAGTCCAGCTCCAAATAAGATTTTTTTGAGATATTGAGAATATTTTAATAAACAGAATCCATTGGAAAACGACAACAGATATAAGAAGGCATGTCAGAAAAAGGCATATCGGAACCCAAAGATTAATAATTACATAGATTAATAGATTAATAATTAAAATATAGGATCTTCGTAGTTTCTTTATATTCAAACTCAACCAAACCTTTTGTTGATATTGTAACGGTATAAAAAGAAACAATTAATGTTTATTGGGTATATCTTGTTGCCAGTCCCTAAAGAGACTTCAATCAGTCTTAAGCATTATGAGATATTTGATCAATTGTAAATATTTTTGATTACAGCAAATCCTACGCCCTCAAATCTAACATCAAATAATGTTATATTTTCTATTTCTATTTCTATTGTAGTTGTTATTAATCAATAGCACTTTATTTAAAAGTCATACAGGTATTAAATAATCCCATTCCGACTAAATCTCTAGCCCTAGTCTAAAACAAAGCAATTAACTAGAAAGTGTGCAATTGAATTCAGTTCGAGCTGCTGTCACAACTTTTCCCACTTTATCGAATTGGAAAGTACGACGCCCTCGCCGCTGCAGATGGAGATGGAGCTCACTGAAACGCTTTAGCCATGGCTAACTGCATCAGTTAACAGTCGAGTGGCACATGCGATTAGAATACGGTGGCATTCGACAAATGCGTTGACAATGCGATTTGCTACCCAGCAGGGGGAGTGGGGGGGGGGGGGGGGGGTTTCAAAACAACAGGAATTAATAAAAGAATAATTTTTGATTCA